ATTGTTGAACAATTTCAAAAATCATCATATACAGATCTCTTTATGAAACGCTATCTTATTAGTTGTGACTTTGAAGATATTGCTGCTATGTTGAATAAGTGAGAACATACTTGTCCCAGAGTCTAATACAAGTGAAAGCTTTCATAGCTATTTACTTCAAACAAAATCATTTTGGAGTCTAACAAAGCTTTTTTTCTGCATTTTGTGTGGAAAGAATGTGATTAGCTTGGCAAAGAAATGAGAAACATATAAAAATAAATTAACTAGGAAAGCTTAGTTTATATTAAGATAAACGGTACTAAAAGTGAAATTATATATTTTTCAACAAAATGAGCTAACTTTATTATAAACTGCTAAAAGTTCAAACATCACTAGAGGGTATTTTGGGTGTGGGGGGGAAGCCTCTTAATTTACCTACTTATTTTTTTCATTTTTATGTCCATAGAGTAGTTGTCCTGCAATTGCTAGTTTCCTTCTCAAACTGGCTATTCCAGAATTCCTGGACTGGTGACCTATGGTCAGTGTGGGAAAAGGGACTCTAACTAATCTAATCTAGTCTAAAGTATTTCTAATGTGCCTATCTCTGTAATATATTCTCTACAAAAGCTATGTAAGAGGTGCATTAAGATTAGTAAATGCAGTACCCAAAACCCGTGAAATCCCAAGCTTTGAGTTGCACATGAGCACATGTAACCTTAACTGTGCCCTCTTGTAAGCATGCATTAACTCTCTTATTCACTGCAGCATTACACCTTGAGTAGTTATCTACACCTATGCAGTTACACTAATGATAAGTTTGGCAGTGAGTGTACAGATTGTATAATGTATAATGAATGAGTCAGGGAGCCAGAGCCACATTCAATGTACAGGCTGGGCAGTATGCAGTAAGAGAGCAGTCCAGTCACTGAACACGGAGGATACAATTCACAAATAACAACACAATTAGCTCTTTCACTTTGCACTGTTCAACCTTCACAGTGAAAGAGGAAAAGGCTCTTTCAGATAAAATAGCTGGACCTGATCTTCTGTGGCTTTGCAGGGGTGTAAAATCCTAGCAAGTCAGAATGGCTCCAGATCTTCTGGGTCCTAGTCTATTGCTTTAGCCACAGTGTCATGTTTTCTCTTCCTGCAGCCGTCTGCCTCATATACTACACAGAAATTCCATCATGTGCAACTATTTCCTAGGCAGTTCAACTGTGTGTCTCACTACTCTGTGTAGAGATGAATGTGTAAAAGTACTCTTGTTGTAAACACAGTACAGCCAAGCATGTGGATTTGGCATAATGTCTGTGAGGAAATATGGGTAAGTGAGTAAAAGTTAGTTCTGCTATACAAAAGATGTGGGTTCTGTTCCTAGTTATTACTCTGTAAAAGTGAATGAACGATACTTCATAATGCCTAAGTCAATGGGTATTTTCATGTGGCTATGTAAGTATAATCCAATGGTTCAATATGTATTATGTCATCCTCTGTAGTGGCTAGTTTCTATATTAGGCTACTACTGTTACCAGTTAACAGTATAAAGGAATTACTCCTTCAGTTCAAGTTGTAGACATCTGTGCTGTGGTATGGGAGATCCTGAATTCATATTGTGCAAGCATTTACCTATCCCCACCACATTGCCTTTTAGATTTGGAAGAGAACTGTCACTGAAGCTCTTTCAGTAGTTGCCATAAGGAGTCTGCATGCTATCTAGCGATATCCCCAACACTGCAGCATTCCAGTCTGTAGTTCCAAATAGGAGGTCTAATTCATATTCATATCTCTTGTGTTAGACCTTCTTTTGGCATTATGCACTAGATTTCAGCAAAGGGAATCCAGAAAGATAAATTTAATGTGTTCCTATCCTTGTACGTGAAAAAGGTATGAGAAGACTTTTGCAACTTTGAAAATAGCTCAGTTTTTAGGGTCCCTCCTCCAGGGAACCCCTTGTTCAAATTATGTAAAGTTTTCTCTACAAACTCTACTCCAGCTATTGATCTGACTTACCAATTTTCAAATTGATCTTTTTAAATTTTATTTTATTGTAGATTTTAGGAAAGATGCAAAATTTGGCTTTAAGTGAAATGTAGCTTCAGTCTTAACTACCTTTCTAGTTATGTAAATTAATCCTCGTACTGAAAAAGGTGATTCCTAGACTATTGTTATTTTAGTAATTCTTAAATTTTAATATCGTATGTAGGTGATATGAAAATTTTGCCTAATTTAGTATGTTAATCTGACAGTGCTGCTACTTGAATTAAAATGTGATGTAATCCAAAACCTGCATTCTGGTTGATTTTGCCATGTGATGTATGAAGTACTTTATTCATTGTGTTGTAATATGATCTACTCACTTGGCTTCTTACTGTATGATGAACAGTAAGAAAAGCGGAATCTAGTTTCTAATATGGGTGGAGGCGAGAGTCCTCCCTTTGAGATTATTATATTGGCATGCTAAGAATTTAAGTCTTAACAAGAACAGTCAGCCTATCAGTTTATTAAGGCTTTAACTTGATTTCCAAATTACTTCTAGTTCCTACACTGTGTAATGTGACCGATGAAGTGGGCCTTCTTGATTTCTACATGGAATCAGTGTAGGAATAGATTTTGGATCAGCTGTTTTATACAGTTCATTAGCGGATCTACTAATTCTGCCATATGCTGGATTTCTACTCAATTCATTACATTTTAAACAGTATTATCTACCTTGACTATGACAAGTAGAAAATTACACCTCTCCATGCCCACATGTGGAACACAATATGAACCAAAATTGAAACTCACATTTCACTGGCCTAGATGCACCTTTGACTTCTCTCTATTCTTTCTGAGTACACTCCTCTCAGGTTTTAGCCCTCATCCCTTTACCTGCCCTGGGATGGGATCCCATGAGTCTCCCACTCTTAGACCCAGTCCCTGGGCAATAGTACCCTGTGTACCAATTGAGATTCCTCAGCAGGCCTGACTAGGTTTGGCAACATGAAACTCTTCCCTTCACGCGCTGTGACCAGTTGTGAATACCGCAACAACAGTCTTTTCAAAACAAAATATTTTTTAATCTCAACAGTAAGAACAAAATATAACAGGAGAAAAGAGACTATTTACCTGCACATGGGCAGGATCAGATCTTATATTAATTACAGTTCTATATTACATTTCAGTTATGCATTATATATTATGACAATAGAAATGACCCCACCACCTAAATGGAAAAAATACGTGTGTTATGTTTCAGAGTAACAGCCGTGTTAGTCTGTATTCGCAAAAAGAAAAGGAGTACTTGTGGCACCTTAGAGACTAACCAATTTATTTGAGCATAAGCTTTCGTGAGCTACAGCTCACTTCATTGGATGCATACTGTGGAAACTGCAGAAGACATTATAAACACACAGAGACCATGAAACAATACCTCCTCTGTGTGTATATAATGTCTTCTGCAGTTTCCACAGTATGCATCCGATGAAGTGAGCTGTAGCTCACGAAAGCTTATACTCAAATAAATTGGTTAGTCTCGAATGTGTGTTATGTAATATGTAAGATTTTATGTCCAAGAATATTTGAAAAAGTAATTGATGTATGTATAAAAATGCTAGCAGGCTGGTGAACTCTAGGGCTACAGTAGGATGGCATTTTGAGAAGCAGAATAAAATTTCAGACTTTTATTATAGACACCAAGAAGATTCTATTGATTGGTTGCGGAGGAAATATACAAGCTAAAAGGTTTCAGAGTAACAGCCGTGTTAGTCTGTATTCGCAAAAAGAAAAGGAGTACTTGTAGCACCTTAGAGACTAACCAATTTATTTGAGCATGAGCTTTCGTGAGCTACAGCTCACTTCATCAGATGTATACCGTGGAAACTGCAGCAGACTTTATATATACACAGAGAATATGAAACAATACCTCCTCCCACCCCACTGTCCTGCTGGTAATAGCTTATCTAAAGTGATCATCAGATGGGCCATTTCCAGCACAAATCCAGGTTTTCTCACCCTCCACCCCCCCCCCCCCACAAATTCATTCTCCTGCTGGTGCTAGCCCATCCAAAGTGACAACTCTTTACATAATCAAGTCGGGCTATTTCCTGCATAAATCCAGGTTTTCTCACATCCCCCCCACCCCCATACACACACAAACTCACTCTCCTGGTGGAAATGGAAATGGCCCACCTGATGATCACTTTAGATAAGCTATTACCAGCAGGACAGTGGGGTGGGAGGAGGTATTGTTTCATATTCTCTGTGTATATATAAAGTCTGCTGCAGTTTCCACGGTATACATCTGATGAAGTGAGCTGTAGCTCACGAAAGCTCATGCTCAAATAAATTGGTTAGTCTCTAAGGTGCTACAAGTCCTCCTTTTCTTTCTACAAGCTAAAAGCTGTCACAGCAACGGAGAGGCAGGCAGAGCGAGAGAAAGGAAACCGGAGTGTGTAACCCTAAAGCACTGTGAACGTTAAGTCCAAGAAGGATAGTGCACTAGTGCGCGTAGTGAAATATATACCGTTTGCGTGGCAGCTGCACAGAGTTGAGGCTACCTGGATAAAGTGGCGACTAGCTGGCTAACCACCCGCTGGAGCGAGGCGGCCGCTCTGCTTGCCCCCTCGCTAGTTAAAGCCATAAGTGCAGAAGGTAGAGCAGGGAAGCAGAAGCTGGCGGGGATGCCGGGGTGGGAAGAGGCCTTATGGGAATAGGAGGGGATACATTAAGGGTAAGTGAAGGCGGCACAGAGGGAGCAACCCGCAAGAGGTGGGTGGAGGAATCCACGCCTTGTCCCCTGGTGCTACTCCCGCAGCAATTGCCCACGGGCGGGCGCCGCCCAGCAGAACAGCCCAACCCTTCTCCTTCCATTTCAGAGCGGCGAGGGGAGGCCGGCGGCTCCGCTGTCTATCATGGGGCTGGAGGCGAACCCGGCGGGTCACCGCAGGAGGATGTCCCCTCTCATTGGTGTGCGGCTGCCACGGCCAAGCGGTGGTTGGCTATCCTGGCTGTCACTCGTCTCCTCTCTCTCCTCCCCGTTCACGGTCACAGGCAGAGAGGGGAGGCGGGAGTGGTGTTTAACCGGAGGTCACGCAGAGTGGAGCTGGGGGAAGCGGCATGGCCGCAGTTTTAATGCTCAGAGGCTCCGCCAGGCTGTTATACAAGCACAGGAGGGTGCACGCTGCCAGCATTGCAATGGGTAAGGAGCCGCCTCTCCCTCTTTGCCTTGGGTTTTTTGGTGACATTTTAGCAGCGCGAGCTGGGGTTGCAAACTGTTGCCTAGTTGTGTTAAAAGGCCAGGCCTCCTTGTTGAACCAGCCAGAGAAAAGCTTCTGCTTCTGCTGCTTTCTACCCCCCCTAGCTAAATTGCCATGTGAGTCACTCCAGTGTCAGCGTCGCTCCAGAACTTCTTATCACGTGAAAACAGTGGAGGTGGGGTGGGTGGTAATTGCAGGCACACAAGAGCTGCACTCCGGATTTGAGTGCGTTTGAAGGACTCCCCACTCCTGACAAGCTTCTAATTCCTTAGGTGAAACATGCATTGGGTTTTGAAACCCCTGATAAATGTGCCTCATAGCACGAGAGGATTATCACTTGTGTTTTGCACCTTTTACAAGTATTGTGCACTCTATTAAAGCTAGACAGGTTGTAAAATTATATGAGGCTTATATCAATACTTACTTAATCTTATGAGTTGCTTAGTATAATAAATATTTTAATGTGTTTATTTAAAATAGCATACCTAGAGTTTAAAACAGCCCACAGAAGTTTATGTGACGCTCGTGACTTAAAAAGCACGTACCTGTAATCTGTACTCATACTTTGCTTTCTTTGTGATTATATTTCGTTATTTTTGAGCCAAATCTGAATTCAGCAGCACTTTTTTTTTATATTCAAGACCCTGGTAGTGCATACATTTGCTTCACTTTACACACACATTAATGGGCAGCAGGTAGTCCAGTTGAATGCAAAGTTAAGCAAGTGTATTTGCAGGATTACGGCCCAAGTTATAACCTTTTCCATGTCTTCTATCTTTCCTTTTAAAGGGACACTGGTGATTTAAAGATCATACTTTTGTTTGAAATTGTTCTATCTACTGTTGCTACAAGTAACACTTAAGATTACTATAAGTGAAATAAATTGTAGAATCTTTTTCTATAGTCTTTTTAATATGTTTATTTTGTGCATTTGACAGCACTTCATTTATAGTCCATTTTACTGTTTCCCTTGTGTAGCTCAGTCAGTTTCCCCTGTGTTTATTGGGGGTCTCTCACATAGTAACCGAAGAGAAATGTATGTGTGTATTTTTTAAAAAGGGGGAATGTGACTTTAAAACCACAAAATTTGACAAGGGATTCAGCAAAGGTGCACCTGAAACTACTCTATTATTTTAAAAGTGATTTTTCTTAAAGCTTCTAGTGCCTTTTGTTTTCATTGATCTGACAAAATTATAAATGTCTGACTCTTAATTTTATTTTAAAATGAACTTTTAGTGGCATTGTTTTACTTTAATATCTCTCCCACTAACACAATCCATTAAAGCTTTTCACAGTTCTGAGTCTGACTTTTTAAAAAGTTTTTAGTTGTTCAGGTGGAATACAGACTAATGGATACACTTGGTCATGTGTTAGTGAAGTTAAATGAAATACACAAATGGTACAGAGAATAGGTCTATCGGGTGTCTTTTGCCACAATATTATCAGTAGTAATTGTCACTGTTTCATACGTGTTGTCTATACTATTCATAAAGACGTTTCTGTAAAAGCTTTGAAGTAGCATTATGATTTTGTTCACTGGCTTAAACATGACAGCTTGAATGTTGTCATCACATGCAAGAGAGAGGAGATTCAGAATGCAGTTCTTCTGAAGTACCACAAAGTAACTTTAGTTATTTTTTTGAAATATATAATCTTTGAGGGGGAGGGGAGAGAATAAACCATTACTTCAGGTTTTAAGTTTGGCAAATATATATGCTTTATTTTTGCATAGAGACCTGAGAGAGCAATGACTGCAGTCTGAGATGAAATTCTGGCTCTATTGAAGTCAATGGCAAAACTTCCACTGATTTACCTGGAGCCAGGATTTTACTCTAAGGGCATGTCTACACTGCAATGTAAGCTCAGGGTTAGTGGGATTTGAGTCAGCTGGCCTATGTTAGGGATCCCTGAGTTTGAATGTGGTCCCCTCATCTCAAAAAAAGATATACTGGCATTAGAAAAGCTTTAGAGAAAGGCAACTAAAATTATTAGGGGTTTGGAATGCGTCCCATATGAGGAGAGATTAAAGAGGCTTGGAAAAGAGGAGACTAAAGGGGACTAAATATGATAGAGGTATATAAAATCATGAGTGGTGTGGAGAAAGTGAATAAGGAAAAGTTATTTACTAGTTCCCATAATATAAGAACTAGGGGCCACCAAATGAAATTAATGGGCAGCAGGTTTAAAACAAATAAGAGGAAGTTCTTCTTTACACAGCCCACAGTCAACCTGTGGAACTCCTTGCCTGAGGAGGTTGTGAAGGCTAGAACTGTAACAGGGTTTAAAAGAGAACCTCCATGAATTTATCCAGTTAAGTCCATTAATGGTTGTGAGCCAGGATGGGTAAGGAATGGTGTCCCTACCCTCTGTTTGTCAGAGGGTGGAGATGGATGGCAGGAGAGAGATCACGAGATCATTACCTCTCACTCCCTCTGGGGCACCTGGCATTAGCCACTGTCGGTAGACAGGATACTTGTCTGGATGGATCTTTGGTCTGACCCAGTATGGCTCTTCTTATGTTCACTGTTTTTTAACCCTGTATTAAGACTTTTCTAACCCGTGTTGAACCTGGGGTCTGGTGTCCACACTGCAGCACGCAGACCTAAATCAAACCAACCATATCCCAGAGTCTGTTGCACCCTCCTGAAATGTGGCTACTCTACACTATCACTGTGATGCACTGTGGGGAAAACTTTACTGTCCGCCCTGCATGTTACAGGAAGTTTGAACAGTCTGCCAACACAGCCTTCTGTGCAGTCATTTTGGTCTTTGTGCTCCCAGCTACTGGAGGCAGCAGCATGGAGGATGCACCTTTTTGAAGAACTTCTCTTCCTTGTGTTTTCACTCCTGTGTCAGGAAACTGGCATAGCATTTGTGAGGCACTGGTGGACGTTTCGGTGATGTTTTCTGCTCCACCAAAAGTACCTGTTAGATTTTCCTGATAGAGGAGGAGGTGGAGGCAGAAGAGAAGGAAGAATACCTTGGCATGGCATGGTAGACTTACACTGACAGATGCTGCTCAGTACAACTGGCATAGTCACTGATGCTCTCTACATAGACCAGTGCTTCTGGCGCAGGGCCACAATCACAGACTGGTGGGAACACATCATCATGAAGCTCTAGGATGACCAGCAGTGGGTCCAGAACTTTCGCATGAAGAAAGCTACATTTCTGGAGCTTTGGAGCCGCTTGCTCCTGCCGTTCAATATTAAGAGAGACAACTGAGGTCAGCTTTGCCAGTCCAGAAGTGGGTTGCTATAACTGTCTGGAAGCTGGCTGCCCTGGACTGCTACAAGTTCATTGACAAACAGTAAGCTGTGGGTAAAATGGTGGCAGAGGTATCTGAGGTGACGGGCATTAAAGATATTCCGGAGGAACTGCTGGCTTTAAGAGAATGGGGTTTCCTACTGTGCCGGGACCATTGATAGGACTTGTGCCAACAGTTTGTCCTCCTCAAGGAATACATAAACTGTAAAGGGTATTAGTACATTGTTATGCAGGTCCTCCTGGACCACAGAGGCTTAGGAATATCAACGTGGGCTGTACTGGAAAAGTTCATAATGCCAGTTTTTTGCTGCTTAGGAGTCTACATTCATGGACAGACTGTGACACTATTGTCACCAAATGATATTGACATAAACAGAGTTCCTGTCCCCATCGTTATTCTGGAGAACCCTGAATAACCACTTTTGCCTTGGTTTATGAAAGCATACCCTGATTTGTTTAATAGAATATCAGGGTTGGAAGGGACCTCAGGAGGTCATCTAGTCCAACCCCCTTCTCAAAGCAGGACCAATCCCCAATTTTTGCCCCAGATCCCTAAATGGCCCCCTCAAGGATTGAACTCACAACCCTGGGTTTAGCAGGCCAATGCTCAAACAACTACCCTGGTAAAAGATGGGTTTAATTACACTCTCAGCACATGTAGAATAGCTGTTGAATGTGCTTTTGGCAAATTAAAATCACGTTGGAGATGTCTACAGACCCATTTGGATACCAGTGTCATCAATGCTGTCTGCATTACAGTAGTTTGCTGTGCTCCTCACAACCTTTGTGAAGCTAGAGGTGAGCCATTTCCCCCTGAATGGACCTATGACAGTGAGGGGCTGCTGGATTGGTACCCTCAGCCAGCAAGTGCAGCTATCAGTGTGGGAGCTGGTTGCACCCAGGCAGCAGAAGTCAGGGATACATTGTGTTCTCATATTATGGACTTACATGGCCCAATGGACGAAAGGGAATAGTACCTGTACGAATGTGCTTTTGGGGGCGGAAAGTGGCTAATTAAATGTCTAGTGCTTTGGAAGGTGTATGGGTTGATTGCCATCCAATGCAATTATGAATGACATAATTAATGAATTGGGGGCAGCATGGGTTTATGTATAGAATTTATTGAAATGTGAATTGCTGTACCTTTGGTAAATAGAGGAATAGTGTTTGCTTATGTATAGTTTATTATCTGAAATCATGATTGTCAAGTGAGGCAATGATAGCAATACACTTTCTTGAAGACCTAAAAGGCTTTGTTTGTAAACACATATTAAAACAGTACAAGTGTCACTCAGTGCTGGACAGACCAGCTGCCATTACAACACACCAGAACACATACCAGAAGAACGTTATTCCCTTCCCCTGAAAATGGTGCAAACCCAACCCAACCCCCTGACTGCTATATGCTTCCTGGCCCTGCATTCTTTCCCCCCCTTCTTTTCCTGTTTTCTGCTCGCTTGGCACTGGGACAGGGAGTTGCAGGTATCCACAGAAGAGGGGTTGAAGAAGGAAAGCTGCATAGCCAGCTGCTCATGAGGCCTGAATGCTTGGGCCACCCTGACATAGTTATCCAAGCTACTGCATGCCTGAGGTACAATGCAGGGGAATCAGGCCATCGTGTAGGGAGGCAGCAGGAGCCAGTGCTCTTGCAGCCATGATGAACTTAAGTTGATGA